GAGGAACAGCAAGCCGGGCTGATGAGTTTCTTCACAGAGAAGAAACCACGGCGAGAGCTGCCACGCATGGTAAAGCATCAGGCCACCTGCTACTCACATCCAGAGACTATTGATATCCTGGTGGGAGTTCACCCATCAAGGAAAGTCCTGCTGTGATAAATCAAACTAAAGTGACAGCGGCAGTTCTTCAGCCATAAGGTCATTTAATAAAGTAAGGGAAGAGTCACACACGTAAGTGTAAATACCCCACACGCTTGTTCAACTTGGTGCTAAAGAGCCGTTGAAGTGGATATGGAACATGCAAAATACGAGAAAGATGGAAGAATTTAAAATTCTGTTGACCTGCTCCCTAGGTCCTGAGGCTGGATTTCCATCTGCTCTAGCAACATAATTAAACGTTTGCTAACTAATGACAGTATGTGGCTTTTGTCACCAAAAGAACAGACAGTGGTAAACAAAACCCTATTTACAAGAGGTAGGGAGGAGGGAAATGTGACTCTGATGTTGAAATTAGAGATAAACAAAATCACACCACTTAGCTAAAGAGCCTGTCTAGACAGAGGAAGAAAAAAAACAAATGACAAAAGCTTGATGTTATTTTTTGTGAGAAAGTGAGGGGAAAATTATTTTGTGGCTGGGCAAAATTCTTCAAAATGAAAAATGTCAAAACAACAATGTCAAGATCACTGAACATCATCTATTTTACACTACAGCATAGGATAGCCAGAGCAAGGCCTTCTTAATTCTGAAAAAATAACACAAGAATCAAAAGTACAAACAGCCTAGGAAATAAGTGAGAAAATCAACCAAACAGATTTTGGTCCTAAAAGTATAAGAGCTGCAAGCATACACTGAGGCTTCACCTACATGGCAGGTCTATTCCGCTGCAGCTACATCAGTAAAATTTAATCTAAAAGGAAGTGGTTGTAACTATTCCACTTTGGATTCCTGTTTTGAAATAAACTGGCCACAGGAAGCGTTATTCCAGAAAAGTCAGGATGGAATAATTACTCTACTATACTCATGCCAAACAACTTTCCCACCAACATAGCCCTAGGTAGAATAGAGTGCAGTTTAAAGCTAAAATCATTAACATCATTCAACAATAGTGGAATTTCTTTATTCCAGCAGTGAATCCGAACCTCTCTGCTTTGAGCTGAGGACTCCTATGCCATTTTCTAACTAACACAAATGTTTACAGCCAATTTAAAATCCCAGATTATCTACAAAGTAGCTGCTAGGTAGAATACGAAAGCATATCCTGAGATGTCTCCCAGTTACTGCAGATAACTGGGACTTTTTCGCTTCTTGCAGGATGGAGTGGGGGAAGGCACACAGCACATGTACAGCCAAATGCTGCTGTCAACTGAGCAGGAAAAAAAATTCCTGAAAAGCGAAGCAAGGATTTAACAGAGTGAAGCAATTGTGGATTAATAAAATGGCAGGGAGCGGGATAGCAGGTATGGATGCAGGGCCCTGAGTAATACACACAGTTTGAACACATGGGGAAGTACAGAGTTGAAGATGGAAAGGCAGGAACAGGACTGTCAACTGGAGTAGATGCTGGCTTCTTGGCAGCTGGGGTGCTCATTTCTTTTGAACATAAAAGTCAACAGATAACTGAGTACTGGCCTGGGGTTTTGATCAGTGTAACATCAGATTGAACCTTGCAAACACCCTGACAATTTTGGTTGGTTTTAGAGCAGACCACTGTTCTGTAACACCACTGCTGCTTCATCCACGAAACTGGAGGTAGGGTGCAAATCTCTGAAGGCAAGCGGTCTCCCTGCCTCCCCCCGAACAGTTACATTTTCATCATTATCATAATCTTCTTCCTCAGATACCTGCTACTCACTGAGGTCCATCATGCCAATCTGGGGCCAAGGATGAAGACGTGGGAGGATGATGATGGTTGGCAATGCTGGGTATCTCATGTCTGTTGAGGGAACACTAAAATAAAGGATGGAGAAGAGGTGGATGGCGGGGCGTTGCCATACCGTGTTTCTGGCCTGTTGGCTGAAAGCAATTAACTCCTGTAAAGCACAGGACGTCCTTGCGGGTGGCTGGGAAGCAGTCTCATCCCAGCCCTGTCATAGACACATTAAGTGCAGCTCCCTAGGTCTTGGGTTTTTTTCCCAATTTACAACATTTGAATGCTATTTCTCTCTTTATAGGTGTGTGTGGAGACAAGGGGCTTTCCACATTTCATGGAGCATTCATATTACTGCTATTACTTAGTTTATTTCAGAGTTATCTATCTTAGCGTATGGCCTGCTCTGCTTGTACCTGCACGCCTGCCCGCTTTACCAGGTTGGGAATTGTGAACTTCTCTCCTGAAATCTCATGTATCTTCCTCCTTTTTTGCTATAAAAAGCTCTGTTTGGATCTGGTTTTGGGGTTTTTTTATGTTAATGGCTAACGTGAGTCATAGAGGCACAAAAAGGTTTCCTCCAACCCGGAGCACTGCAGTCCACGCTAACACTGAAAAATCACCGAGCAGTGAGGAAATCCTTCATCCTTCACTGGAGCGTTGGTCTTTAAGGGTCCAGCGCAAAATTCTCGTAGATCAGCTATGAAATAAAATAACTGCTGTGAACGCCTACAGGCATAATTTCGGCCCTACTGCATGAAGGCAAAGCCTGGTTCAAGGCGCTGTGAAGGCAGACGCAGGCCTCCGACTCCCAAGCCCTTTGCCGGGCGGGAACGCACGGCACAGCTCCCGGCCTCTCCTCCGCCAGGACAGAACCCCTCTGGATGAGGTGGGGGCACCGCGTCGCCCGACCGCCATGTCAGGCTGGTGGCAGGTGACACGGGGCAGCAGCCCAAGGAAAATGACGGCGGCTTCTCCCCCCCCCCGGTTGTTTTACTACGGGTTCCCCTCCGTCTGAGGGAAGCGGCACTTCAGGGTCTGGAAAAGGAAGGCGGGACAGGCGAAGGGCGGCGATATCCCCCAC